GAACTAAAAATCAGAACTGAATTCTGACATTAAAATGAACATAATTCAGATCAATATTTTTGTCTTTGTTTTTAACACATTTCAATTTTTTACTCTCTGACATTTCTCCAGTGTTGTTTGTGTTCTCAAATGCTGATAGAAGTTTATTGCTTGCTGTTTTTTGATTAGTCATATCCACACATTACTTATGTTGATGGTCAGTTTTCTTATTGGATAATCCAAAACTTATGATCCTATAGAGTAGTTAAAAGAAGGATGACAAAATCAGCCTAGAGGGTAGAAGGAGATGGTCACCAGGAAGACTGGGATGCAAAAATCACATGTGACATGTGAGTGAAGGAGAAATGCACATGAACTCTCAAAATAGGATTTGTCAACCTTCTAGAAGACGACACACAGCTGAGGAAGGCCAGAGGATACCCAGTTAGAATGGGAACAGGCTAAAGACAGTGATAAGGAAATTAATTCAAAGGAAATGGTTGCAACAAAGCAAAATCATATTTGACTAACACAAAAACATATGTAGCTGAATTTGTTAATATTTAAATTCTCATTCCAAACATCCTTAAAGGAACTTGCCATGGTGCAATGATTAGCATACTACTTTAAAAAATATCAACTTGGAATTCATTTCTGAATATAACTGTAGAAAAGCTGACAATTTCCAAGCAATGTGCATTCCTCAAAATTATGAATTAATTAGTAATATTCTTTTATATCCAAAGATGAAAAAATAAATAAGATGAAATAAGAGTTAAACAGAAAAAAAATGATGAAAAAAAAATATGAGTTTTGGAATTGGTCTCATTCCTGATGTTAAGATTAAATTCTATCCAAACCAATTTGCTTTTGATCTATATTTCATTATAAGAAAAAAAAAACAAACAGGTACTACATTATCTGTAGGTTACTCATATTCCTTATCTGTAATTCCTAACCCTACCTAATATGGAGGAGAAGGCCATTTCCTTTGTATATAAACTGATCTTATTAAAATTGCTTTCTTAAAAAAAAAAATTCTTACAATCTAAAAATATTTTCTAGCTTTAAATAACCTGCAAAGTGTTGATAAGCCGTAAAAAATGAATTGATCAACCAATTTTTATTAACAATTTTTTCATGTCCATTAAGATGAAGCCATTTCCTTTGTATATAAATTTACTTCCTTATTAAAAGGGCTTACAGCCACATCATGTTGAAATGTACAGTCATCAAAGTTAAGCAATGTTAAGCATGGTCACTATCTAGATGGGTGACAGGTTGGGAATACCAGGTGCCATAAGCTTGTATGTGTGTGTGGTATAATGGATAAGGGCTAAGAATTGTTAATTGGAGATCCAAGTTTTAAATTCCCGTTGGGTTTGTTATATTCACTTACATGCAAATATCCTTGAGAAAGGTATGAGTTCACTTCTTCTTCCCCTAGGTATTGGTTAATTAGTAAGACCTGTATTGCTAAACCATTATTACCTTCAAAGAAAAAAAATTCTTACCATCTAAAAAATATTTTCTGGATTTAAATAACGTGAAAAGTGTTGGTAAGCCATAGAAAAGCTCAATTTATGTCTGCCTAAAAAGTTGTTTTAAAAGTAGAAATGGAAATATGATTGGCTTACAGATAGTGAAGAAGTATTCAAAAATATTTAGACGAAGAAGAGAAAACCTCTTTTTTCTACATTAAATTTTCCAAGTCTCATCCCTTTTTCCTTTGTTAATATTTTCACTTCTACTATGCTGTCTTCCTTTTTTTTTTGTATCTTTCTGCCATGTTTAATTACATACAAAGCCAAAGGTTAAAATAAACCAATAAAAGTTATTTTAACCTAAGCTATTTCAGCTAACCTTAATAGAAAAAGCCCATGAAATCTGGGCTCCGATCCAACTTCTGTAACAGATATAATTTCTTGAGGGTGATGAGGAATAGAATCTATGACTGCTTTTACCATAAAGGTCAGACTTCAAGATTCAGGACATCAAGTGACTTACACTTATGTGACCCCCTTTTTTTTTCTCTTGCTGAATCATCTCTCATCAAGTACAGGAAGCCTGTCATAGGACATGCATATTACCCTTCTCCTTGGATCTTTTCTAACCAATTCTGAACTCTATAAATAACGGTGATTTTTGTTAGTTTTATATTTTCAAAAGGCTTTGAAAAAAAAAAAAAATTCAAAGGGCTTTTATAAAAAAAAAATGTACCCTAACTTTTATAAGTTAGAAAAAACAAATATATTACAGGTCTGTTTAACTCCTGGCAGGCTGAAGCACATTAACTCATTAAAAATTTTATCAAAATGACCTCATGACCAAATAATATCTAAATAATTACATACACATTTTCTTTTTGCTGGTGATAGGATTCATGCCCAAGTTGTTTTATGAAAATTAGTGCAGTGTTTTAAGATATTTCAAGATTATTAACATAGAAATATTAAGTTGAGTCATAACTAATTTCCTTTTCTTAGATCAAATTTTAATGATGAATATATCATCCTAAGTGCTCCTTAAATATACCATAAGAGGTGATGAAAAATGGGTTGCATACAACAATGTTCAACAAAAAAGGTTGTAGACTGACAAGGATTAATCTTCACAACTGACCTCAAAAGCCAAGCTCCATGGAAGAAGGGTAATGTTGTATATGTTGTGGGATTGTTGGGGTATTGTTCTTTTAGAATTCATAAAATGCCACAAAACACTAAATGCATATTTATACATCTATCAGCAACAATATGTTCATAAAAGTTTCATTGAAAAATGTTTTACTTTATTAAGAAAACTGTTCTTCTCCCCAATACCAATGCAAAGCTATATACAGCAGGAATAACACGGGATGAAATTGGGGGAAATATGGTTTCTCCTATTCCACCTGGCATATTCACCTGACCTTGCACCAACCAATTATTACCATTTTCTATTACTTCAAATGTGCAGGTATGGTGGAGTAATAGTGGCCTGGATTGAGGAATTGGAGAGCCAAATACAAATTCCAGTCATGTTCATTACATTCACTTATGGACTAATACCCTTGGTAATGGTATGAATGCATCTCTTCTCCTCCTCAACTATGGGTAAAATAGCAGGGTAAACTGAGTCCTTATAGCCTTGGGTGGCAATCAGTCTGGGAGAAGAAAACTCTGAATTCAACCCAACCTGCTGTCTTGTAAGTCCTGCCTCTTTAAGCAAAGTCTAGGAGGTAACTTCAAAGACAAATGCACCTCTCATATTGTCTTGTAGAAATGAATTTGCCCCTACCTTTAGCTGCGACTGAAAATAATCAACTCTCAGGCTTAGTATAATGGTTTGAGCAAACACAAAATTGTGACATGTCACCGTACCATGGATCTCTCTGATTTTGATTGGACTATTCACTAATGGGTGTATCACCCACACCGATGACAACGATTGCTTCAAAATATTTTGGTGTGAAAACATTTCTCTAACAGAAACCAGATTCAAGAGTTTGTCAAAAACTTCATCTAAACCTGCAGAATTTTACTCAAAAGGTATCAAAGAGGCTCTTAATAAGTGGAAAAAAGTCATTGCAAATAATGGTGAATATATAATTGAATAAAATGTAATTGTACAGGGTGTGACAGAAATACCTCCCACTTAATGGTAAGATATCAGCTAGATGAAGACACAATTACCACTAGTGTGTTACTATTTTGTGGGAGGTATTTCTTCTACACCCTGTACTTTATTTTTTGAAGAATAAAGTTGAAAAGCAAAACTGGAAATTATTTATGAGTAAACCAAATAGATATCGAGTAAAATTTGTTTTTTTGTGTGTGTGTGTAAAGTAGAATTAGTAATAATAACTACATAATATTTTTTTAATCAATTCTCCTTAAGGGAGGTGGTAATGTCACTAAGATGAAAGAAAATGAAAAGACTTTAGAAGGAACTGGAAACCCAATTCTAAATAGGAAACAAGGGATAAACCTCTACTCTTATACAAAAGACGGTGGAGGACTGTGAACCAAACAAAACTATCTACTCTTATCATATCCAATATTTCGATGATTAAATCCAATGATTCCACATAGATTTGAATAAACAGGACAGAAGGAAAAATTGTAATATTATTTGAATTACTCTTGGGTACAAAATGCAAGTACTAGTATATTCTTTTAGTAGATTCTTTTATTTCTTTCCATTTTTCCCCTGGAATGGTGTTGGTTTGCTTTGGCATACTTATTAGTTTTTCAAATAATTTTCTTCATTGCATAATTATTTTGTCCAAGTTTATTAAACTTACACAAAAGTTCTTGGAAGAAGGTTTATTTGAATGGTAATGTTTATTTTACAATTTGAAAAAATTCCTACAACTATAACTATTCCAGATGTCACTTGTATTTGGTGCCAAAGACTACTTAGGTGAATTAGTATCAATGATTATGATTTTTTTTTTTTACTAATATTTCTTTCATTTTATTTCTCTTCCTTTCTATTGTCTATTGTAGCCATATATATATATACATTAAAATAATAAGAACAGTAAGTTTTATAATCCAGTGTTGTTACCAATTATTTTTATTTAAAAAAAAACAGTACTTGATACAAACAGTAGAGCATAATATTATAATGATTTTCTTTTTTAAAATCATATTTTTTATTAGTGTTTAAGCCTTTTTATTATATCCTTACTCTGCCCTGGACATTGAGTTCTTCTACCTGGATTCTATCCTCTTGGAATTATTTTATATATATATATACCACCAATATTATCTGTGTGTATATATATATATATATATATATATATATATATATGGATTCTCCTGTTGAGAATGACAGATAAGGATTCAGTAAATTTTAAGTTTGTTTTTTTTACTGAACAATATGTGCAGTCTGTCCTTCTGTTTACCCATAGCTTGAGGAAGAAAAGAGGTGGATTCATACCTTTCCCAAGGGTATTTGTGCATAAGTGAATGTAACAAACTTGACTTTCTAATTTTTCAGTCCAAGCCCTCATCCATTACGCCACCTGCACATCCAAG